TGAGTTTCAGCCACCGGGTCCAGGACTTGAACCATGGTCAACTACATGGGAGTCCAGTGACATAGCCATTACGCCAACTGCTGGTCCCTATCTCTTTTTTAAAAATTTATTTAATTTCATTTGTTGTTATTATCATTTTTTAATTTGACCAGAGAGAGACAAAGAGCAAGAGCAAGAGAAAGTGAGAAAGCAAGCCACCAGGTCCATGACTTGAACCATGGTCGGCCATGTGAGAGTCCAATGCCTTAACCACCACACCACCTGCTGGTGCTGAGAAAATACCTTTTTTAAAAAAATAATCTTTTTAAAATTTTATTTATCTTTATTTATTTATTTATTTAAATTTGACCAGGATGGACAGAGTGAGAGAGATGAAAAGTGAGAAATGAAGCTGCCAGTTCTGGGATTTGAACTGCAGTCAGCCATGTGGGAGTCCAGAGCCCTTAACTATCATACCACCTGCCATCCTGAGAAAAGATCTTTAAGAATGAAAAACACATCAAGACGGGAAGCTAGAAGAGGAGCACTGTCCTCAAAGTACTGAAGGAAAATGATTTCCAACCTAGCTGGTTACTGTACTCAACCAAACTATCAATTAAGAGAAAGGGAAAAACAAATACCTTTGCAATCTGCAGGGTATCAAAAATTAACTTCCCATGTTCTATTTCTCAAAAAGCTATTATGGATATATTCCACCAATACAAGAAAGAAAAGAACAAATGAACATAGAATTTAGAAAACAGAGGATCTATTAAAAGGAGAAGGGAATTTCCAGGCTGGTGCCAAATGCTAATTCCAGAGCTGGGCAATGGGCCTGGAGTACAATCAGTCCTGAAAGGAGCAGGATGACAAAGGCTCTAGGAGAAATGGCCCCAAGGGAAAAAGGAAATGAGTAAGTTTTCTGAGATGCTGAACCAGCCAAGAGCAGATCTATAATTCTATAGAGTCTAGGATTGAAACAATGAATAGGTACACAGAGCACTAAGCAAATAAAAATACTAATCATTATTCCCAGGAAAACAAAAGTTACACACACACACACAAAAAGTGGGCCAGTCAGTGGCCTGATGATTAAGACGACTGGATCCCACAGGGCTGACTGCACAACTCAAGTCCCAGACCTGATGGCTTGAAGAACACACCAGGCAAGTGTGCATGCATGCCCCAAATTCCAAAATAAGGGAGAAGTGGAGAAGGGATTGTGGTGTGACCATCCTCCATGGGGAGTGCTTCATCTCTCTGTCTCTCTCAGGCAAGCAACGCACCCCCTGACAAATTTTAAAAAGTAATTGCAGTTTACTATGTGGCTCAGCTATAAATTACATCAATATAAATACTGGATGCTGGATAGTAACCTGATACAAATGGTGATTTATTTATCCTGAGAGGATGGGGAAGGAGCACTGCAAGAGGACTAAATCGTATCTTCCAAAATACGTTCAAAGGCAGTATGCGTGAATGAAAAAGAGTAGAGAATGCATGTAATATAGAAATACCTGGCTGCCTCTGAGAAGGAAGAATTAGGAATCACTGACGTTAGGCAGAAACACATAATGTTTCTTACAGTAAGTTTTGTAACACTGGGGTTTTTTTAGTTATGTATTTATACTTATGGAAAATGATCACATTTTCTGAAATGCCTGGCATACAGTAAAGACTCAAAAAAATATATAATGGAGACTTAATTCTTTTATTTAAATGGCATATATTAATACATTATTGTAGGGCCAGCAGGTGGTAAAGTGGTTAAGGTGCTGGACTCCCACATGGTCGATCACTGTGTGGGTCCTGAACTTGGTGGCTTGAAACTCACGTCAAGCATGTGTGTGTGCATACCCAGAATCCTGAGAGGAGACTGGAAAAGAGGGGATTGTGGCGTGATCACTCCCCCTGAGAGATGATTTCTCAGTTTTTGTCTCTCTGTCTCTCTCTGTCTCTCCAGTGAGCACATACACCCTATGGCAAAAATCTCTAAAAATAAAATAAACCAGCATAATGTGACTGGTGGACTAGATAATGAGCCTATTTTAAGGCACCTCTACCCAATACTTATATTTGAGAATTAGAATTTTAAAAACAATTACACCTCATAAGCAATGACTCATCTATGTTTCTACTACTCTGATCAGAAGTACCTGGTCCTCTGTAAGATTCTCAGCATCCCAGTTGCTGCAGCGAAGTCGAAGGGACTTGTCAAGGGGAAAGTTCAAAATGGTCTCAGCAAGTGACTTCAGGCTAAGCCCATTACAGAGCAAATTGTTTCTACAAGAAATAAAATTGGGTATCAAAGACAGACAAATGACATGAACAGGAAAATCAAAAGACCTACAAATAGCCAATAAACATAAATAATATTCAGTCTCACTAGCCATCAAAGAAAATGACAGATAATTTATAAGATTGCAAAGACTTTTAAAAATAACTATATCAAGTACTAGAGGAGTATGAAAAATCAGGCAGTTTCATCTAAAATTTGTAGACTGTACATTTTTTTAAAGAATCATTTCATTTAATTTTATTCATTGGCATTATTTTATTTTAACGAAGTTGATCAGAGAGAGACAGAAAGAGAGAAGGAAAGTGAGAAAGCAAGTTGCCAGGTTCATGACTCAAACCGCGGTCAGCCATGTGGGAGTCCAGCAGCCTTAACCATCACCATGCCACCTCCTGGCCCCTGTAAACTGTACATTTTAAAAACTTACTGGCAAGACCAGCAGTCAGCATAATGGCTATGTTGCTAGACTCCCATGTAGCCGACTGCGGTTCAAGTCCCAGAACCCAGTGGCTTGGACTCACGCCGGGCGCATGTGAGGGACTGTGACATGGCCATCTCCTAGAGGGGGGGATTTCTCGTTTTCTATCTCTCTGTCTCTCTCTGTCTTTCTGGCAAGTGCACGTGCCCTATAGTAAAAACCTCTCCCAAAAAACAAGTTTTGTCTATTAAGCCAAACTAATAACTAAAATAAAATTACATTCTACACTAAAACATTATGATAAGCAGAGACTTTTAATCAGGCCTTCTCTTAGTTTACAGGATCCTGCAACCTGTTTGTGTCAGTGTCACTTAAGACAGCACGAGAGGGACCAGTAGATGGTGTAATGACTGTGTCGCTGGACTCCCATATAGTCGACCGTGGTTTGAGTCCCGGACCTGGTGGCTTAAACTCACGCCAGGCGCGTGTGCAAGTGTGACCAAAACCTCAAGAGGAGAATGGAGGAGAAGGGATTGCAGTGTGGCCATCCCCCGTGGGGGGTGATTTCTCGCTTTCTGTCTCTTTCTGGTGAGTGTACGCACCCTATAGCAAAACATCTCCAAAAATAAAAACAGCATGAGAGACTTTTTCGGTCCATGTTATTACAAGTGAGGAGTTGGGGCCGGTCTGTGGCCTGGTGGTTAAGGCAGCTGGAACTCATATAGCTAACCATGCAGTTCAAGTCCTAAACCTGGCAGCTTGAGAAACACTCAGGCATGTGTGCCTGTGTGCCTAAAAGCCTGAAATGATGTAGAAATGGAGGAGAAGAGATTGTGGCATGACCATTCGCCATGGGGGCTGCTTTCTCACTTTCCCTCTTTCTCTGTCTCTCTTTGGCAAGTGCCTACAACCTCTGGAAAATATTTTTAAAATAAAAATGAGGTTCTATACATATATGCGAGGAGGTAATTATGAAAACAAAACTTCCATAGGATAAGGGAATTCCATAGGATTCCCATATTGGAAGGCAAAAATCTCTCTTTCTGCCAGACAGGGGTTAAGTCTACCATCATTTTTTATCTAAAGCAGGGTTTACAAACTCAAATGAGCTGGGGTTACAATGGCAGTGTAGGCGCTCTGGCAAATTGAGTATAGCATGGTCACTTAAAGGGGATAATCCAGGTCAGCTGGTGGCATGGTGGTTAAGGCATCTGGATGTCACATGGCTAACTGCATAGTTTAGGTCCTGGACCCAGCAGTTTGAAAAACATGCAAGAAGCATGTGTGTCCATGCTCAAAATCCTAAGAGACTAAAGAAAGGATTGTAGTGTGGCCATCCTCACAAAGGGTGCTTTCTCACTTTCACTTTCCCTTGTACTCCCTAGCAAGTACACATGCCCTTCAGGTAAATAAATAAATAAAAACAAAGGTGATAACCCTGCTTGGATAACTGCAGCTATCTAGAACTAGGAACGTGGTGTAGCCAGATAATGCAATTTTTCAAGCAAATCCAGAAATATCCTTTTTGCATTTTTTTAAGAATTATTTTAACTTTATTTTATTTTTATTCATTTACTTTAATTTGACCAGAGAGGAACAGAGAGAGAAAGAAAGTGAGAAGGCAAGCTGCCAGGTCCGGGCTCAAACCATGATCAACCACAAGGGAATCCAGCACCCTCAACCAAGATGCCACCTGTCAGCACCAGAAATATCAATTTTACATTTAACCTTCTAGATTTAAACTAAATTTTTCAGGGACCAGCAGTTGGCATAATGGCTATGTCACTGGACTCCCATGTCGTTGACCATGGTTCGAGTTCTGGATTCGGTGGCTTAAACTCACGCTGGGCATGTGTGCGTGCGTGCCCAAGATCCCAAGAGGAGAATGGAGGAGAAGGGATTGTGGTGTGGCCATCCCCCTGGGGGGGTGATTTCTCACTTTCTGTCTCGCTGTACCTCTGTCTCTTTCTGGCAAGCACACATGCCCTATAGCAAAAACCTCTTAAAAAATAAATAAATAAATAAATAAAATGTTCAAAAAATATCATAAAATCAAAAAAAGCATGTAGCCCTAACTTAGCCAGTAGGGCCATCAGTTTATAACTTGTAACTTAAGAGAAATACTCGTTCAATGTTTCCTCTAAAAAGATCAATTTTAGGGGCCAGCAGGTGGTATGGTGGTTAAGACTCTGGACACTCCCATATGACCGACCATGATTCATGTCCCAGACCTGGTCGCTTGCTTTCTCACTTTCCTTCTTTCTGTGTGTCTGCCTTTCTCTGGTCAAATTAAAATAAATAAATGACTAAATAAAATTAAATAAATTTTTTTTTAAAAAAAAGATCAAGTCTAGCTTAAGTTTTCTCAGAAACTGGAATGTCTCTTCACTTATACAACATGTCCCTAGGTTTCTAAAGAGTTTCAAATGTTTTATTATTGATTCCCAGTAACCCACAAATCTCGCTAAAATTCTTACCCCAAAGCTACAGGAATTCTAGCATTCACACAAACCATACCTCTGCCGCATGGCCAGGTATCGGAGGTCCAGGCACCCCCTAACGACAAGGCCATAATCCTGCAAAAGCTTGCTGGCATCTTCTGAACATCCCACGCCAACTTTTAAAATGGTGCCGTCTGCCAAAATGTCCAATAACGTTCTCGGTAGTGTTTTTCCTCCACAGATCAGCTTGGGTAAGCGAACCAAGACACAGAGGCCACTTGGGGAAGCCATTTGTAGGAGTGAGAGAGGACTGGCTTTGCCATCCAAATTCACCTGGAACAGAGAGGACAGGTCAGGGTTCATACCTAGCACAGCATGAAACTGTGGCCAAATACTCTGAGACATATTGTAACTTTCCAAAAGGAGAATATGATCAGATTTTTGCTTTAAATCTAAGGATGAGTCTATACTAAAAATGCAATGGACTCTGTGAAGCAGCAACCTAAATGAAAGTTACTGAGAGCCTAAACTCCAGGAACTGAAGCATAGGCAGTCTATAAATAGTGATCAATGATAACAGAGGAGCTCTGGGACACACACTGGCAGAGTCATATGAACATACTGGTCTAGGGCCAGACATGAGGCATGAAGATTAAGACGGCTGAATCTCGCATGGGTGACAGTGTGGTTCGAGTCCCGGACCTGCTGGGCACATGTGTGCATGCCCAAAACCCCGAGAGGAGAATGGAGGAGAAGGGATTGTAGTGTGGCCATCACCTCTTGGAAGTGCTTTCTCACTTTCCCTCTTCCTCTTTCTCTCTGGTGAGCACAGAGGCCCTGTGGGAAAGTAAAAGTACACACACACACACCCTGGTGTTAAAATGAAAAGACTAAAGAAAAAAAGGCTAGGGAGTGGAATGCCAAATGATAAATATTCTCTTTTCATTACTAGACTCTCTATATTAACCTTATTGTTATTGCCTTAAGATCCATTTTTTTTTTCTTCTTAGGGGAGATTTTTGCTATAGGGCACATGTGCTTGCTAGAGAGACAGAAAGCAAGAAATTGCCCCCCCTAGGTGGGATGGCTGCACTGTAATCCCTTCTCTATTCACCTCTTGGGATTTTAGGTACGTATGGACATATGCTCAGTATGTTTCAAGCCACCGGGTCCGGGACTCAAACCAGTCAGTCTTGTGGAAATCCAGCAATGTAACCATTTTGCCATCTGCAGATCCCAAGATTCAACTAATAAAGAGACAGGAAATAAGTAAGTGCTATAAGTAAGTGGTATCTGCCAATATAACAAACTCTGATAGTACAAAGTGCTTTCTCAACATTTTCTAGTTACAGATGATACTCATGAAACTATATACACATAGATATATATTATTTTTATATTGATATATCTATATAAATATATAAATAAATGAATATACACACAGCCACACACACACATACATCTAGTTTTGGGAGGGCTCACTAGACTTGTGCTCTAGAGGCTGGGAACCTCGCACTGCTTGGCCTTGGACAGCTCATGGCTTTCCACAGGAACCCGAGACTGGTTTTGGCAATGGCCCTGTTTCCAGAGTAATCTTTATGATGGCATTTGGTGGAATGAAAGAACTACAAACCTTGGAGCCAGTCAGGCTGTGGTTCAGAAAAATAAATGCAGGGAACCAGCAGTTAGCGTAATGGCTATGTCGCTGGACTCCCACGTAGTCGACCGCGGTTCGTGTCCCGGACCCAGTGGCTTAAAACTCACGCCGGGCGCGTGTGCGTGCGTGCCCAAGATCCCGAGAGGAGAATGGAGGAGAAGGGATTGCGGCGTGACCATCCCCCCTGGGGGGTGATTTCTCGCTTTCTGTCTCTATGTCTCTCTCTGTCTGTCTGGCGAGCGCACGCGCCCTACAGTGAAAATCTCTCAAAAGAAAAAAAAAAAAAGAAAAATAAATGCACACACATATATATTGAGCATAAGTTAGGGTTCATATGTTAAGAGCTAAAAATAACTTTCCAGGGCCAGCAGGTGGACTCCCACATGGCCGACCACTTAAGATCCAATTTGTTATAATCAAATTTGTCTTACTAGGAATCCAAAGGTTTATGATTTCAGTAGGTATGCCATTTATGAATGTATAATTTTTGAATGTATAATTGGAAGAATGATGTTTCTGGGAAAATTGATTTGGCTTAAAGAGTACGTTATTGTGCCAGCAGGTGGTGTGGAGGTTAAGGCTCTGGATCCCACATGGCTAATGGCATGGTTCAAGTCCTGCCCGGTGGCTAGAAAATCATGCTGGGCCTGAGTGTGTGTGTGTGTGTGTGTGTGTGTGGGTGTGTGTGTGTGTATCAAAGATCCCCAGAGGGGACTGGAGGACAAGGGATTATAACATTGACACCTCCTGGGAGGGTGATTTCTCACTTCCCCCCAAATCTCTATCTCTCTGTGTCTCTCTCTGGTGAGGGCATGTACCCTATAGCAAAACTAAAAAAAAAAAAAAAAAAGGTATCTAGTTTTTATTTCTCATATTTCTCCCTTTTGCTTCCTAATATCTTTTGCCTTGACATTATTTATAGCTTATGGGAAACTGAAACTCATGGGTTACCAACACTGTGCCTACTAGGAAAAAAAGGATGTATTTTAATTTCATTATCATTATTTAATCCAGTACTCTCTAGTTATTGTTTTGATGAGTCAATTCATATAAAAATGCTTGAGACATACACTCTACTTATTCATTTGTTTATTTGTAAATTACATACACATAGTGTTGTACTAATGTGTGGTATAGGACCGGGCAGGTGGTGGGTAGTTAATGGTGCTGGGCTCCTAATGGCCAACCACGGTTCAAGTCCCAGACCTAGCAGCCTGCTTTCTCACTTTCTCTCTCTCTCTCTCGCTCTGTCCCTTTCTGGTCAAATTTTAAAATAATTAAATAAATAAAGTTAAATAATTCTTTTTTTTTCTTTTTTTTTTTAGAGGTTTTTGCTATAGGGTGCGTGTGCTC